AAAAACATTCAAAATACTTAAGAAGTAGCTGTAACCTAAGATAAAGTTGATGTTATTTTCCAGAACGGCTTGTGGTAGGAAAAACTTGTGCTTACTTTGTGGATTCAGTGATACCAAGACTGACAAGAGCTTCTTTTGTGGGTGGATAAGAATATTCATAGGGATCCTGTTCAGAAAACATAAAAAAAATTATTCTATTCAACCTGACAATTTACAATTTCACCAATTTTCACAAATAAATTATCATCAGCTATTGGCTCTATGCTGTATGCTTTCAATTCACAACATGCCTAAATCACAAAATGAGAAACAAGTCATTATTTTTAAATATGACTTGAACCAGTCTGATTCCATAAAGAGATGCTTTTGTCCTCTTCCGCCTACGCTTTGATCTAGGATAGTAAATCTATCCTAAAAGGCACTAATTTTGTGTACAGAGTTTATTCCTCTTACACTCAATTTATTTTCACTCAGAGTTCAGGATAACCATGCACAGGAAAACTTTTGAACTATCCAGCACTTACAGTTCCACCTAATCTAACAAGTAGCTTGTCTTCATCAACTAGATCCAAAAGTTCAGGTTTGTTTAAAAATCTGGAAGAAGTAAAAAACCATGAATTTTAATGACAAAGCCTTGCATGCCAGCATGGATTTCTTGAATTGGAGTCAAGCACACCATCTCTAAGCCAAAATATCTTCTTAAGCAGCAAAAAATATCAAACAGCTCGTGAATAAAGTATAAATCTTAAACTGAACCTGATTTTTTTGACAGCTTCAGGGCTCAGCCATGACTTGACAATTTTCCATGTTGCTGTGGTAAAGAAACAAAACAGATAAAACATGAATCCAAGAAGATGCAAGAAAGGGTACTCCCTACTTATAAAAGTAGTGATTTAGCAAAGTTGGTTGAGAAATAATTATTAGACTGAGGGAAGTTTGATGTCCTACCATCCTTGGAGACCCATGGGCTGTCAGTCGATTTTCAGTCAGGGTGGAAGAGCCCCTGAGACTGGGCTCTTCCACCCTGACTAAAAATTTACTCACAGCCCCTGAGTCTCAGAGGATGATGTCCTGCTCTTAAAGGCCTACTCTGACCAAAACTCACCTCTAGAACAAAAATATCCACTGAATTATGAGTAATCCTTCACAGAAAAGAGTAATTCCATTGATCTACTTCAGTTAAATGCTTATGTTTTATATGTAGATCAGTATGAATTAAACAAAAATACCTGATAAAATCCAGGGCATTTCCACGACTACTAGCCATGCTAATGATAGGAAAGGGAATATATTTTACATTTAGTAACCAAAGGTGGACTTGCATCAGAATAAAGAAATTCATGTTATCCAGCTTAATTTCATCTCCTACCCAATGTCCATGGAAAGTAATCTCTGAAACAACTTATGATAAATTTTACAAAATCCAGGTCCTAAAACAGCAACAATAAAATAATTACATTTTGTAACAGTTATTATAATTATAATAATTATCGCTTGTGACTTAATTTCAAATATTGATGTCAGAATGTTGCAAATTTAAAGAAAACTAAATAAAGATAAGCAACATTTTCCTAAGAATTGTATTGTAACTCCACCTTCACATAAACACGTAACATATTTTAAATATATCAAAGCTCACCATATTTGATAACCCAGTATCCTGCATGTCAAATAAAAATGTTACTTTTCTGCCAGGGAACATTTTCACCTACAACAAAAGAACTATTAATTACTAATGTAGATATAAAATCATGAAATACACCTGAGATACCATGAGCACCCTGATAATTCAAAAACCTATCATTTTATTGTACTGGTAAACCCATAGAAAATTGAACTTTATATTATAAAAGCAGTCCACTGCACTTTCTACCAGTTTAATGGCATACGTAAAACGAAGTCCACTTGGGAGGTTGGGAGAACAATTTATTAAATGTATATATCTCTTGCTGATGTGCAAATACTGAGTGCAAAAAAGCTTCAAAAAGGAAAAAAATTCAGGTGAAGACTTCTTAAAGTTTTAATTTAGACAATAAGTCAATGTGACTTACATGTTTTTCTAGGAGGAACACAAGGTACCTCTTCAATTCTGGATGTTGCTGTGGATCTTTTTTGTAAAGTTTTCCAATGTAGATGACTGGCAAGATATGATGAAAATAATTATATTCAGTAAGTAACTGTCCCAATAATAAACAAAGTCACATAAAAAAGTAAAGTTCCCAAACATAGCTAGCCTTCTATAAAATTGAGAAGAGAGGTTGTAAATTTCAAGCTTGGCCACAGAGGAAAAAAAGTTGTTATTTTTTGCAAAAGATTCCTTTATCCCATGAGCACAGTAAAACAATCAATCACTTTCCTGATTGACTGCTGATGAGGTTAACCTTTTAACTCTTATAAATGATCAAAATGTAGCTTCTCCCAACTACATCAGAAATCTTAAACCAAACAGATGACCAGAAAAAGACAAACTTTGTCAGCAAAGTTGTTGTTACCATCATGATGATAACACTGACTCAAAGGGAAATCTATCTATAGCAGTTAAAGTTGGACGAAGAGATTCCAATCAAATCTTGGGTGGTCAAGGATTGACCATTCAAATTGGTTAGAATCCCCATCTGAATAAGATACACCTGTCAAAGAAATCATCTAGATCAACCTCCATTTAAAAGATCTCAAAATAAATTCCCCCCACTCTTTGCTGTACATTTGCTCATAGCAAATAGCTAAAATAATTTACGGTGAAATCAGTCAGCATTTTCTCTTCCCCCTCATCACCTTTTGGCCTCATAGCATAATGATATTGTAAGCAAAAATAACTTATTGGTTCTCCATTGGTTAGAGGGGGTTAAACACTTACTTAACGTATTTCCATCTTTGTCCCGATTATATGGAAAGAGGAAACCAGCCTCAAACAGTCTCCGGTCTACAGAACGCTCTGTAAGTTCTGCAAATGTGAATATATCATCAAAAGTAAATCAAGACATGTTAAAAAATGTATTGAATAATCTATGCATCACAAATGAAATTATGTGCAAAATTGTACTATCAATCCTTTAAACCCTAATATCAGTATGCAACTTCGCCACACTGTTCTCTGATATATTTTTTTGTATTGTCTATCCTACTTACAATCAAACTTTGTCTAACAATCTAGAGCTTCTTGAGTTTGCGACCATTTCCTTTTTCTCATGACCTTAAGGTTTGATTCAGGGGTGTTAGATTTGGGAGAAATTAGAAGCTTATCACTCTTAGAGATTAAAAGGTAAATCAACTTGATTTTGTAAACAAGAGTAGACCATTAAACATACCATTAACTCCAAATGATTTTCTCCATCTTAAACACTCCACCTAGCAGAAGGAAGTAGAAATTTAAATCATTTCATGAGCACAGAGAAGCAATGTTTCTTTATTTTAACAGTTTTTTGTAACAGAAGTTCAAAGCATGGTGCACCAAGCTTTACATGTAGGTGTAAAATAAAGTCGATCCAATCCGTGTTATAGGTAAAATTACAAGACCATTTGGATAATACATTCTTGGTGGATGGACAGTGTCGAGTAGTCAACAACCGTAAGGTTTACAACAATGTCAGTGAATACAAAACTGTCAAATTAAAATTCCAAACACTTATCTTCAAGATTTCAACATAATAAGGATGCAGATACTCTCAGGAAAGTTTGATTTATGTCCATCAATAAGAGAATCTAAGAATTATTTCTTCTCTAAGAGAGGTCCACTGAAAGGAAAAAATGACTTAAATGCACATAACTTACCAAGACAGATAATGCAATGTCTACATCCTGCTTGCGAGATTTCAGAAAGCAACTCAACCAGAAGTCCTCATCACGGACTCGTTTCACGTCTTGTTCATCAAATTCTTGCAAAATTGCACCTAAAATCAAGGATTGGTAGCTTGTGACATAATGAACCCTTAAGATTAATACCACGCAATCTCTGCCTAATTCCTGTCTCCTACTCATCTTTTCGTGCACATCCACTTTCTGTGACTCAATACTTAAAGGCTTGTTAATTTATTATAGGATAAGGAATTGGGTATAGGGAGATAGATAAATGTGTACGCTTGAAAACTAGTGTCACTCGACAATGTGTTGTTGAATGATGAAACATTACATTTCAGACATAAAAAGAAATTAAAAATTATTAGAGGAGAAAAAAATCCTTAGTGCGAATGAAAGTAGCCTGCCGTATCACTCAGCCCTGATAATGCGGAAAAATTAAATTTGAACCAAGAGAGAAAAGTAACTTGTAGGAAGAAAATGACGTCATTGTATTTTACTAACATCAAACTGATTAGTACCACAATGAAACTCTCGTTCATAAAATTTAAGATAAATTGTTTAAAATCTGTTAAATGGTATTGTTGAAAACATTTTAAATTAAGGAAATTCTCATCATCAAGTAATTATGTTTGAATTAGTATTCGATCTGAATAAAGTTTCCGCGTTATTTGGTGGCATGAACTGGTTCGAGATGATTCCTCCAGTTTTTTTTTACCGACATTCCTTACGAAAGCAAAAGGCTTCTACTACGTAAAATTTAACGTACACTGAAGCTAACCTAGTGAGCACAGTTTCCACGTTTATTTTCCATAAAATTCGTCGAACTTGCATACAAAAACACAGCTGAGAAATAACTCAAAACATGCAACCTGGGAAAGATTTACCGTTTTCATGAAAAAACCGCTGCCTGAGCTCATCGATTCGTTTGGCCTCTAACTCATTCTGTCAAAAAAGAGAGAAACCGGTGGTATTTATTAATCTCGAAATCAAAACAAAATGCAAAATGCATGAATTGCAAGATTACCTCCTCTGCCATCTTTGAGTCACGGGTTTCATCGGTTTCTGTCGGAAGAACTCAGATTAGTTCGTGAATTTCTCGGACTATATTCGTCGCCGATCTACTCAGGTCGGGAGAGATGGCGGGAAATTCGCGTTCAGCTCACCTGTTTAATTCTTACAGGTAGGTTTTACCATAAAACTGTCTACAAAATGCATTTTTGATGAGACCTTCAACTGAGAAGATCTTTCCCATAAACGAACTGCAAAATGACGTGACTTCGTAGGTGTAAATTACATTTCGTTCGAAACGACAGGTATGGAAGAACCGTTCATCAAAGGAACACTGTTTCAAAGAGTATTCGTTTTGTTTTCGTCGGTAATTTTTGTCGTTGAACATTGTTCAGCCAAAAATATCGACATCGACTTGAATTTGGCACCAGAATGGAAACGAGAAATTACTCAGAGAGCGTCGGATTACGGTAAAAATTTATTCGTTGAGAAGATCAAGTTCTGTTACCTATGTTAAATTTAATATCAATCGATATCACAATCTTTCCCTGCTCTTTGTATCTTGGCAGAGAACAACTTGAACTGACGCTAACGAGGCATTGGTGCTCTTTTTAAAAGCTTAAAGCAATGTGCTGTGAAATTTGTTTACCAATTTATATTTAATTTTATACAGTCTACATCACTGATCGTTCTCTCTCGAATGAATGAATCATCGCTCTGCATAAACGACGGGAAAGGTTCCAGATCTTAATAAGCCTCGACAGCTAACCGCTCCGTTGGAAATAGGCCATCAATAGGGCCTCATATACTCACCGTTATCTTAAGGAAAATGTCAGTGATATTTTTTTATTTGTTAAGTACACCATAGGGTGCCAATTTGCACTTCGGCTGGTGGTTAATAGAGGTCACCTTGATTAGCGTTTCACTTCTGAGGACTTGTGGTTTGCAGGTTCCATAATTTTTTGGATAGGTTGAAAGCTTAAAAAAGCAGATCAATTTACGTGTAGAACGAATCAAATGATTTTCCATCAACTTATAGAAGCTATGCATACTTTTAAGTAGGCTAGAATGTTTTGGTTATGCCATTTGGAGGTGATGATACCAAACTTCGTCAGCTGGTGAATGTGATTAAAAATCATATCCCCTCTCTATCCTATCATTTAATCTAATTTTAAGCTGGTAGATTTGTGAAAAAATGGTATGTGGTTAAAGTTGGATTGGGTTTGCTTTGTAATTTTTCACCATTCATCTTCACATTTCTGTAACTGTAACTGAAATTTGGGGAGCAGAGATAGTGCAGATCTCCTGCTGCTGTATCCAGATGTTTATTAGTGGACCCTGTGTCACATACGAGTCCAGTTAATTCAATTTATAATTTTAACTTTTTTGCTTTTGATATTACAGATCTCTTCAAAATTTGTATTTGCATAACTTTTTAGGCTGATTTCCAATGGTTTTTTCTCAACTTTACAGTGGACCACATCATTCTTCCATTCATTTCTAAAGAACTCAATGATTTATCAGTTCCCAATCTTTCTGGAACCATCAAAACTCCATTAGGAAATGTGCAGTACGATCTCAACCAGTAAGTTCTTTTTTAAAACGTCTCAAGATCAACCTGGATATGGAAATTTGTTTAATTTTTCCTAGACTGTATGCATAACTGTACCAACTTTTATCAATATTTTAACCAGATGAGTGAATTGTTTGAATCATAGTTTCAAATTAGTCCAGTCTTATACTATACAATTTGATGTATATTTTTAGGATCAAGTTGTCCGATGTAGTGATTAAGAAGACCAATGTTTCACTATTAGCTGATCACGGGTTACGGATTTCTGCTAATGAAGCCTCAGGAAATATGGCAGCTAATTGGCACTACAAAGAGAACTCTTGGTTTGTTGTCTGTAGATATGTTTCTTAAGTTGTTTTGAGGGAGAAAAAATGATAGAAAAAAATTAAAATTAAAAAAAAATATATGATTTAAATCAAAATTGCATTGTCTACATTTTAGGGGCAAGGTGGTTGAGAGCATTGTTTTATTATTACTAGTTGTAACCTTCAGTTGATGATTTTCTTCTGGAAAATGGATATTTTGCATGAGTCTTGCGGTATATTGGACTAAATCAGCTCTGCTCTGGTTATAATGTCAATCCAGTGATTTAGCATACAGAAGGAAGGGATCACTTGAGAAGAAAGCCCCCTCTTCCCCCCCCCCCTACCTAAGCTCTGATATTCATTCTATTGCTGGGCTCCTGCTGAACCTTATTGTGTGGCCAGACAGTCCTCTAGACTAGAATTGCCTTCTGCTGTGTTGAGAATTGGTAAAAAGTACTGTCTGTGTGTGCATGGGTATTTCTGAGTAAGACTGAAGGAGTCTATACTACTGAACTCAGCTCTGCTCCGGGAAAACCCTGATCAGTTGGCCAATTATTGTACATTGGTTACTGTCTATTGTGCTACAGATACAATTTTACCATCAGTTCCAAAATCTAAGATTTAAGAGATTGTGAGTATATTAATTTTTTGAATTGTTTTTGTTGATAAGGCCTCACATCTCTGATTCAGGATCATGTGACCTATCAATCAAAGACCTGTCACTTGGAATGGCTTTCTATGTTGATGGTTAGTACAAGCCTACAAGTGAGATCCTATTTCATGAAATGCATACTTTTTAATCCTAAGTGGAGGCTTTGTGATTTTTAAAATTTACAAGATTTTCTGAACATTTCTCCAAGTATCCTGTTATGGATCACCTTTGTACAGATTCACCAAACTCTGTAACTACCAGTGAATAACTTTATATTCTAAATATTTTATTATGTCTGGCATTGAAGGTAACTTGGGAGAGAAGAAGGGAAAAGTCAGTGCAAAAGACTGTACCATGAAAATTGGCTCTGTGCATATCAAGTTCAAAGGAGGTGCAAGGTAATGATTTATGTTGCAACTGCATACATCATAGTTGAAGAAACAACAGTTATAATGATGGTCTAAAGCTTTACCACTCCACCTTCTATAGCGGGAAGCAACTAATTTTGCTGATTTCTGCCTGATTCAAATCCTACCTGTGTAGATAACACTTTTGGAAGGATATTTCCAGGAATAGGGCCAAAATATGCAAAATCCAGTTTTTGACTCAATTTGAGTAGAATAATATAGGGTTTTCATATTATATCTTGGTGAAGAGGTTGGTTTCACTTCCAGAAGAGACCAAAGAGGTAATTTCTCTACATAATAACAATATACTTTCAAGTTCAGGTGACAACCAGGAACAAACTATGATTAATATTGATTTAATACTAGATTTGCAGAACTCAAACCATAAGCAATGTATGGGAGAAAGTGGAAAGAGTAAATTCTCAAGTAGTGCTAGATCTTGAGTGTGAAATACTTAATTCAATATTTTCCTTCCACAAGCTGGTTGTAATTTTTATGTAATTTTAATTATTTTTTCACAAGCTGGTTGTATAATTTATTTGCCGATGGCTTAGCATCAAGCCTTAAAGACCAACTCTCCGCTCAGGTAAAAGTCACTGGTAATAACATTTAAATTTATTCATAACTGTGAAGTGATTTTTTATAAATTTTTAATTTAATTTTTTCAACCCAATTATGTGTCAATTAAAACACTGACAAGTACTGTATTTCAGCACAAGAGCTCACACATTTTTCTGAGTACTGATCCCATCATTCTTTCCCAACTTTTTTCAAACCAACATGACTGTTTTCTGGAATGAAGGTTTTGAGTCAAATCACATGGCTTGTTGAGCAATGATAGCAGTTGTGAGAGTGCCACAAAGTTGATATTATCTGACTACACTAGTAAAACATTTTAGCAGATGATAATCCAACATGTACATATAAAGCTAATCCATTCTCCATCCTTCAGAGTTTCACAGTTTGATGATGAATGATTTCCATATTTTTTTTCCAAAAATACAAAACTTGTTTGTATCGAGTACACACTGATTGACTACCAGTTGTTAGTAAAATTAACATCAATTTCCATATTTTCTCACTTTTAATTGTAGATCTGTAAGACTGCTATCAGCCTGATTAGCTCCAAAGCTACTCAAGCCTTAGACAATTTCCCTTCAATTATGAGGAAGTTTCATGGAGTGCAAGACTGAATGGAAGGAGTTGAGAGAAAATCCTAGCCCAGCTTTATTTTCCAAAGTGCTTTCATTGTTACTTGTGAAAAAAATATAAATACAGGGCTGTAGGCAATGTCCATAGATTATCCATGAAATTGGTAATGACTTAAACTTATCAGGTAGAAGTTTCCATCTTGATCTAACGCCACATTCTTGTAACTATATACAAGGAAATGTGTGGCAGAAGGAGGGATCAATTAAAGATCAGATCTTGGGACATTGTACCACCAGGTCAGCAAAAAATGCTGGTAATCAAATCACTGTTTAGTCACCAAATATTATATTTTTATTACTACAAGTGGAAACAGATGTGTACTTGTGCAAAGAGAAGTCTTGCAATGAATGTTGGATGATATTTATGACAAATCCAATAAAACTTTACAATGTTTATATACAGATCTGGGCTCACGCTTGTCTGTGGGAAATGGTCAGTTCAGCTCCTTAGACTAATCCTTGCTACTTATCATGCAGTAAAAAGTAAAGCAACTGTTTTGCACCATGTAATAATTTACTTTATTTTACATTTCTGCATAATTTCCAACCTGTATATAATATTTTCCATCATAGAAAATTGCATCCCAATGAAAGACTGACAAACATTTTCTCAACTAGTTTAAATGACATCTTACAATTATATTTAAGGTAAAAGGAAGCTCATTGGTATGATCTCTATATCTATCAATTAATATCTTTTCCAAAGACCTTTGCATATTCACTTGAACAGGCTAGTTACATGCACATATCTCTTTGTTGCTGTAGTCCTGGCTCCATTTTAATTACTGAAATGCACGGTCAAGTGTCATAGATTTATCAAAAATTATAGATACACTATGTACATCCAGAAATGTGTCCCAAGTTCTGATGCATCATGAGATAAGAACCTTTCTGAGCACTGCAATTATTCTGGTTTTTCCATAGTATAGCACCCACTCTATTTCAGCCTTATGAAGAGGACTTCCACTATGCTGGCTAACATCTTTTTTATGATCCATGGGTCAACATCCTCTGATCTCCAGAAATTTCCTGCCTGACATTCAGCTAATAGTTTGAGGCAAGCTGGCAGTCTGAGTCACCACTCTATACTCATAAAAGTGCAAAAATGTCTGCCCTATGTTCCAGCCCACAGCAAGAGATACAATGTACCCCATCACTACCAACAAGACAGGATATAGTAGCACTACAGTACTTCGAAGAAATGGTAATGCTGTGGATATTTATGAAAAAAAAAAATCAAAGAGAAGTTAATAATCAAATACTCATGCAATGCAAGCAATTAAATTATTTTGAATGTTCATGAAATTTTCATGGCTCATCGATTGAAAGGGTTGGCAGTCATTTTCACAGTTAATAACTTTTGAAGCTCATCAATTTTACATTTATGAGGCTCAAGTAAATGCTCCTCTGAACAAAAAACTTTGTGAAAGTATATTTAAGTTTAGTGTTAAATGGGAAAGACATTGCTAACAGAGGCAGGAGGTTGTTATATCACAGCAATGAAAACATCAACAGGTTTAAAAGACATCATCACTCCAAAACAAAGTAATCTGACCAAAATACATTACAAGTAAAAGAACTTATGTCAGTAATAATTTTCCTTTAAAGGTAACTCAAAGTGATATCCCCAACAAGGACAAAATATCAGTGAGCAACAGAGCAGCATTGCAACTGCAAGCTACATCACTGATAGTCAGAATTATAAGGAGAAATCATACTACTTATACATATCTGAAGAAGTAAAAACTCACCGCTGTATCCTAGGAAAGAAATATAAATATAATACACCAAAGCTATGAGCCAAAGAGAGTTTCCAATAAACCTTGATATGAACCAAGGATTGTCTATGATGACTAAAAGAGACAAGGAGAGAGTTAAGGTTATTTATTAGACCAACTATGAAAAGCTACCATGGTGCTGTCCTCACCCTTATTTGTCCTTTTAA